AACCACCATCTCTGACAAAAAAAAAGAATAAAGGAAACCACAAGTGACGTTGGTTTAGAAAAACTGAAATAATGAAGCTTTAATAAAGAAAAATAATATTTTTAGAATGATCAAAGGTGTGTCCTGTCGATTGCACACCTCGGGTTCTGCGTTTGAAAGCCTTCAAGGTCTCAGCGGGGGTGTTAGAGGGTGCGTATGATCACAACATAGTTAGTTAAAGAGTAAGACAGGAATATAGAGCGCTTCGGGATAAGGTTGTCATGACGACGCGCCCCGAAATAGTTATTTATTCACGTATTCGCCCCTGGTCTATGATCAACCCTCTCGGCCTTATTCAGCCCTCGCTTCACCTCTTCATACCTCGACGGGAAAAACTATAAAATGAAACCGAAATAAAAGATAAAAAAAATGCCGAATTTCCAATTGGAATAATGACTAAAATGAACTTACGAAAACTACCCCCTATTGTTAATCCCCTATTTCCACTCCCTTGAGATTGACCGCGATTAATTGATGGCAGTGCCTTCGAGACTTCTCGAACGTGATTCAAAGTGACAGACCATGCGGATTTCATGTATACAGGGTGCGAAGAAATTCCAGGGGGTGATCTGAGAGGGTAGAATTTATCTCACACAACTACATCCGTATTTGGGGAATTTGTCGAGATTGTCAGTTGCGACTGATATCTGCCACAAGATAAGCTCCATTGGAATATCACCCTCGAGATCTTACCTATCCCTCTTTAACAAAAAAAGTTATCTTTTATCTTAACATTGTTTCAGTCATCATTTTTGATGATGGAGAATATTATTATCGTTATTGTTATTATGGATATCTTTTTTAAATGATCGTATGTATTTTCGAATAGATATTTTTTTTTTTGGGATGAGTAGAAAAGAGAAGAAGGAGAAGCAAGTGTTGAACACGAGTTCATTAAAGGAAAGGAAGGAAAAAAAATTGATAGAGCAGTAAAGGGGCGCTCGTGGATGCTGTCGATGGCCAATGAGGCACATAATTGGATTTGAGGATTATCAAGCTCTTCACACTATCCACAACATTCTCCAAATAATTTCTGCATTGGTTACCATATTGACTGTAGTATCACTGTAGTGCTCCCTAGAAATCACCCAAGCAATTACTAGCCCTGAACTTTTGACAAGTAATTAACTCATTGAGAGTTTGTCTGGTGGATGTGAGAATCGTTGGCCAATTTTAAGCTTTCAGTTCAATTCATTTTAAATCCAAAAAAGTATTGTTTACTTTCAAAACTATCCAATTAAAGTTAAAGAACAAAAAAACTTTTTGTAAAAATTAATAAGAAGACTAATTAACAGCATAAAAAAAATCTGCGACTATTATCCACATACCAATCAAATTTACTTAATTGTACTACCATTTTTTTCTATGTATTAATTAATATACCACACATATTTTTATTTTCTATAGCACAAAAATTGTTAATGACTTGCATTCTATTTCATAAATTTATATGCAATTTTATTTTGTAATTTTAAGAGTTGAGAGAAAAATTAAAAAAAAATACTCTCCAATTTGCTATGCATTGTGATCTTTGCCAGTAAAAATATTTTTATCAATTTTCTGGCCTTGTTTTATAAGAAATCATAATACTTTATTTTCCTTTGTTTTCTTACTTTATAAAATTATTATTAAAAATTATTCAAAAATAAATATTGATGAAAAAAGTTACCACTTAATACTTGAAATATTCCAAGCCTTGAAAATAAATGAGAAAATAAATTAAATTGTATCCATAATATTTTAGTTAACATTATTAATCATAAAATTATCAACTTTCAATAATCATTATGACGTTAATAAAACACCCGGTATGTTAGTTGGCACTGTCCTGTCACCCTAGCCCAACGCTATCACCCTACAAAGTTACCCTCCTTGTACCGTTCCCTAATATAAATATTATTACAGTTTGATGGGGTTAGGTAGACACTAACTGTCCATGCCGGCTTTTGGTGTACTTCTTTTTTTTTCATTACAATCAAATTCTACTCTTGTCCTTTTGAACTCTTGAACAACAATGACTGGAGTTCATGAATTTACGTCCCAAGCTCATCATACTTTTATTATTCAACTGCTAACAGTCACTTCAAAGTTCAAAGTTGATGATCCGAAATTTCCTTTGGTATCTTTGCTTCATCCAATTATATCACAAGTAGGATTATATGCTTTTATTATTTCTATTTTTTTAATCAACATTTTATATCATTGATGCCATTCCAAAATACAAGTTCAAGAGATCTGTCGAGTGTTTTTTAATCTTCATAACGTTAAAGCAACCATCCAGTTGCTCATCCATGAAGTGACATCACTGGGGTAATTTAATTTTCTATTAGATTTGTTTCAGAATTCTCATTAGACTAATTTATTCCTTGACAAAACAAATGTGTAGATAAAGGCATGTTTTTGTAGAAGAAAAAGAATGCACAATTGAGATAAATGAACATTAATGTGATCATGTTTTTGTAAGAAGGTCATACGTTGCTCATGATAAGAACTAAATGTAATTACGTTCTTACCATAGATATTTGAATATTAATTCAATTTACTAAAGTAACTTTACATTCTGAAGCTGTAATTTAATTATCTCTTATTGAAATGATTTTAGCACTAAGATCCTAGTATCTTGAGATATATTTGACGAATCTATTTCAGTCTTGTCACTGATTCTTTTTTTTCATGATTCTTTCAAGAATCTTATCTACTTATTCTTCTATCAAAACCCTGCAAATTCAGTGAAAGATTTATTTATGATAAAATATTTTTTGTTTTTATGATTCTTCATGATTATGAAAAATATAAGTAGATTTTAATTTAATTTTGGTCTATATATTATAAAATCTCTTAAATAAAAAAAAAATGTCTGTTGTTAAAGAAAGAAGATATTTGCAAAGAGGGTAGATGAAAGTTGAATAAATAAAAACTTCGTCCTAAATAGGTAACAATGACATTTTTAATAATCATTTTAACAACATTACAATGTTCATTCAGTTTCCAATTACATTAGTGAATTTGGGTCTTTCTTCTCATTTTCGCAAACAAGACCGCATTTTTATCAAATATACATACATACACGTGATATAGATGACCATAAAGGTGCTTTTCTGCATGATGTCTCATATTGCAAAGGCGATTGACAAGTCATTCAATCATAAATAATTACTCTTAATTATTGATATAATTTTTTATTTTTCATTTTTTCCAATTTTTACTTGCAATACATTACTACTAGCAGAATTAATTTAGACATCATTTATTATATTAGATTATTGCATACACAATTATATTAGCGGATATATATATATATATATACTTTCATTTTTCTCTGATATGGATCAAGCTGAATATTATGTATATGTATGATATTGAAGTCTTTTTTTTTAGTATAATCATTACCATTGTTTTTCTTATTACTTTTTTCAGTTATTATTTGAATTAAATGTAACTCATATTTAATCTTAATTACTTTTCCTAAATAGTAATGTTTTTTTTGTAGTACAACTCTCAAGAATTTACATATTAATTATAAAGCAATGATAATATTAACAAGATTTTTATTTTCAATTTTTTTCATTGAAGCTAATAATAATGGAACTCAAGTATATAAACATGTATATTGTATTTTTAAATATACTATATAATAATTATTATCATTTACTTTGTCTCTTCTATACCACTGATAATAAACATCAATATATATATTTATACTTATTCATATATTTTTATATTTTTTTTCCTCTATTTATTATTTTACATTAAGCGTATAAGGAAACGCCCTTGATAATAAAATTTAAAAAAAATGATCATACTCATACTTAATATAGTCCAAATTTTTTTTATATGCTTATATACAGAAAATTTTTAGAAGTGTCGAGTTTTAGATACATAATTAAATGGAAATCTTATTATTTATTGAAATGTTTTGTTAAAATTGGTAACATAATTTTCTAATAATGGATATATACATAAAAAAATTCATTAACAATGATAGTAGTCGTTTTAATAATACACTGAAAAAAATTTATAATTGTATAATCAATATCGTACCACTTAAATTAACTAACTTTTAAAATTAATAGCATTGCTACTTTAGCAATATTTTAATTGCTAATACAGTTTAGGATAGTTGTGACAGCTATCCGAATAATTAGAGTAGGCATAAGGATTGCTGCAGCAACAATCAATAAATTTTTTTCAGTGTAACAATAACAATAATTGGTATAATTTCTTATGCTGTTATGATTATTGTTATTATTATTATTATTAGAATTTAACTGTCATTTTTAAAAATTTACAGTTCACCAATTGATAAGGATAGCTAATATCAGTTGACAAAAAAATATTTATAATCAAATAATTTAAACTCAATTTATTTCCTACTTACTAGAATATTTAGTAAGATTTATTGATTTGTCTATTTGTTATACAGACATTGGAGGCAAATCATGCAAAAAAATAAATTTTTCTTAGCATGAAAATTAATCAGGATGTTCTATTTTTTTATTAAATATTTTTTCATTAATAAATTAGTTTTTTATATTAATACTTTAAATGATATCTAACTCTTCAGAGTAACAAATTGTTTATTTAATAAATATTTATCATTCTACATTTTGTACAAGGTACGTAAAAAAACTGAAATAATTATTTTTACATGAAAAATAATAGTAAAAATTATTATTAATTAGATAGTAGATGTTTTTTATATCATAAATAAAATCAATTTTAGGTAAAAATTTAGTTTACATTTAAAAATGCAACACAGAAAGAAAATCTGTAGTGAGAACAGTTGATTTTATTATGATTAAATAAATATTTAGGTATTTTAAATACCAAATTAGTTTAATTAATTTAACTTATTCACAAAATTTACTAGAATAATATATTTAAATTTACTAATCAAATTATTTAACATCTGACGATATGTTAATACTATTTTTCAGAAGGCAAAATATTCTCTTCACAAGAAGAATTTATATTTTTATTAATAATTAACTAAAAAAATCTATAAAATAACTGTACTATTTTGCAATTTGATACAAAGCAATTTTGTTGAAGATATGTAATTTTCTCAAAACTATGAATACTGAAACATACGATTTCTAAAGTTCTTAGAAGATGTTTCAAGTTATTATCGAGTTATACAGAGTAAATATCGAAAAATCGTAATTCAAAAGTGTCACTGAAAAATTAAGAATAAGTATAAATAGATTTATAATATTATTTATACACATTGCTATCATCTCTGTTACCATTTGTTCTCATTATTCTCGAGGCACTACAAACTCGAAGTACATAATATACATATACTCTTTATTATTAATTTATTTTTGTATTGTTTAAATTTATTTATATATGACTCGCAACTTTAACGAGTATTGACGAGTAGGTAAGGATTTTTCGCGACGTACAAAACGTCAATATCCTTTCTAATGAATTGAAATAATCAAAACGAAATAAATACATTAATGAATTAAAACTAAATTTGAATTTGCTTTATTACTTGACTATTCTTTTATTTGAAGTCACTTAATAATAAATTAGTTTATTTAATTTGAAAAATGTCATAAAAATACGGATATGTTATTTATTAAACTCTTGAATATAAACTCAAGAGTATTTAATAATATTAATGATATATTTGCACTAACACTCCCGACCTAATGCACTGAGACGTAAAGCTCAGGATCTGTTAATTAAGATATATTTATTTATGTATATATGATGATCCTTAATTAACTTTAGCGAATCTTAGTCTCACCCACTCGGAAAATCTCTAACTAATCTATTATTCTATATGTATATTAACGACTTACTTGCTAACTTGTTTGGGCACCCGATGACCAAATACAACTAATGATCATAGTCTGATTGGCATCGGGTCCCTGATATGTTATCCTGGTTCAGCAGCAAACAACAAAAACAATGATAATTGAATCAACCAAAAATTAACGATTGGGTCTAGATTTCCTTGCTGATTGGTATTCTTAGACCGTCTCTGATATAATAACTAACTGATGAATTATTAGAAAATTTATTTTTAATCTCAATTGACCACAAGTCAAAACATTCTTGATTAACCACCACAAATCACAGCACTTATGCACACGACCTCAATTGATATGTTACTGGAAGCCTGCCACGAAGACTGGGGGGGCCTTACTATCATCCTAAATAGATCTGCATTGCTACCACACTAATACATTCCTTGTCGGAAAGGGTTGCTATCACCTGCAGGTCTTTGTTCTGCTTCCGTAGGCCTTCTGAAAGGATTAGCATCTCCAGGGGCTGGTCCTACAGACCTAGGATCTTGACTCATATTGCTTTGACCATAATTTTGACCATAAGAATTCTGTTGGACATATCCTTGATTGTACTGTTGGTCATAGGCGGGTTGTTCATAATTTGGCTGTTCTCCATAGTTCTGCTGTTGTTCATAGTTTCCAACATCGTTCTGAACATATCCAGATTGATAGTTAGATTCCATGCTTTGATCTATGTTCGTTTCCATCCTTCCTTGCGTCAAATGGTTTCCTACATCACCAGAAACCGGTCGCTGTTCTTGTAACACGTAAGTCTGATACTCTTTATCAGGTGGATCTTGCATGAGAACGTTGGCTTCGTCTTGGAATGGTTTAAAGTCATAAATATGTCGAAGGTAATAAAGAACTGGTGCATAAAGTAAATTCGAGAAAGCAATGCCGATGTTCAATGCAGTGAATCCAATTGCTTCAACAACTCCACCAGCTATAATTGGCCCAACTGCATAGGCAACACTATAGGATATATCAGCTATTGCATAAATACTTCCATAAACAGATACATAACGAACGTCTACCAAATAACCCAAAGTAGGAAGTAGAGCAGTATCGATCAATGCTATTCCAAAGCAAATGCCACAGATAGGTATCATCAAAACTTTGTACGATGATGAGAAAGGAATTATGAAACAACAGAGTCCTTCAAGCGCCAAACCTCCGGCAGCCATAAGCCACTGATGTTGTGGATATTGTTTAGCCATTTTTACTGTAATCATCACACCAAAGACGTGGGGGAAAAATGCAGGTAACCAAATCATTCCCATTTTCCAATTGTCTGTTGTTATATTTTCTTCCATCCATAATGAAATAGTTGGCTCCAAAAAAGCTAATGCTACATTGGACATCATCAAAGCACCAGCACACACTGCAATGTATGGATCCATGAAGAGCCGCCAGATGGGAACAGTGCTTCCATGAGGATGAGCTCTGCTTTCTTTAAGTTGTTCTTTCGCTGGTTTCATGACCAATAATAACATAAATCCATCAGCTAAACTGATAAAAGCCAGGATTAAAAATGGCACTTCTTTACCAGCAAACTGATAGAGTGCACCACCGAATGGTGGAGCTACAAGACATCCGAAACTGATAAATGCCAGAGCAATACCAAGTGCTTTTGATCGTTCAGACTCTTCAGTAAAACGATCTGCAATCATAGCTAATCCTGATGTATCAGCAAACGCTGATCCGACGCCTTGTAAACTTCTAGCAAAGAATAGAACACTGTAGCTACGACCGCAGGCAAACACTGCTGTTGATAGAAACATGATACACAATCCAATCATCATTGGAATGTCATATCCTATTCTGTCAATTAATGCTCCAGAAAATGGATTCACCATCAGTTGAACGATGGCTTTCGATGCAAAGAGAATTCCAGTGGCCGAATCCTGACCATGATGACCTTTTGGAGTGAGAGTTCCATTTGGAGATGGATCTGGATTACTAAAGGCTTCAATATCTTTCAAGTAGTCAGGAATTATAGGCACGATCACCATGTATAACATGTTGTCCAATAATAATGCCACTGATACAATAACTAGAATTAGTTTGCGTTGTGATTTTGGTTCCTGGAGCTTTTCCCATACTATATCTTTGACTTCTCCCACCTCCAAGTTGATGACAGGTATCTTGAATGAACTCACCGAACTCATGATGATTGATAATTAATGAAGTTGGTACAATAATTATCAGTTGTCACAAAAACACCAACACTTTACTTGGCAAAGGATCGTTGAGTCTTTTGTTTAAAATGGACTCAGTGAGTCCGAAATGAGATTTAGTTGAGCTGTGCTTGCAATCACTGTGCGCATCAGGCCGGGCCGGGGATAACCTACAACAAACCACCGTGATACGGTTAAAAGTTATTTAAATAATTTATTTCTTCTCTTTTTATAAAGGAGATATTGATTGATACAAAAAGCTCTTGCTGGGGAGAGCCCTGGCCCGGCCTGCTCGATATAATCGGTTTGTCAATATTTTAATGTATTTTCTACAGCTTATTTTTTTCTTGTAAACTGATCTTAAAACAATTTCGTGTAAACCGAATTTGGTTCATAAAGAGCTGCTAAACTCAAGGTGCTTCAAGCTGCAAATTTATTTTAGCCAACCGACGCAACGCCGAGTGAAGGCTCCCCTCTTGATCAGGCGCCCTCGAGGTCGACCCGGAGGATCGATACTCACGTGTCAAATTACAGGGGTAGGTTTTGTTTTATTTTTATGAACTTTTGAACCTATTCATGGTTCAAGTGGTGACACTTAATTCTCGGTATAGAATATATTTCTAACATGTCATTATATTCGTGATCGATTTTATCAGTATAAGTAGAATAAATTTTTCATTTTAAGTTAGATTTCATTATATAATTTTATAAGAATTATTTTTTTTTTAGAATGATTATATAACACATAGTAATTTTAGAATAACAATAAAATATAAAACTTACCAGAATTGGTGTTAAATTTCTGTCTGAACGTATTAGCGAAACGTTGGGGCCCCGGCAACGCCGGAAGTCCTGCTAGCAAACCACTCAGGGTGGATGTTATATCGCTATTGCCTTCGTTATCCCTTGAGTCGTTTGCCGACTCCGTGGCTTCTTGAGTCCCCGGGCCCTCCACCTTTTCAACGAGTCCTCTACCGAGTCTGCAAAAAAATATCAATCAATCTTAAGAATAAACTTTAATTAATAATAACATAAATTTCTCATCCACACATTAATTATCTCCAAAAATCGATAAGTAATTAATTTTGCTCCTATATCAATCAAAAATTAATTACTTCTGTCTCTCTTATACCTAACGAGCAACTGACAGATAGAAAACACCCAAATACATCACCAATACCAAATAATTTCTAATAAAAATATTTTTTTAATAAAAGCAAAACTTGATAAAGTGAATTTGATCTTGAAGGACCATAAAATGGACTGAATTTTCACACAATTAAATGTTAAAATGCAAACAGTGGAGTGAAATGAGAAAAGAGTGATGTTACTTACATAGATCGATGGGCTCCCGATAGCAGGGACGTCCCGGTATGTCTCTCCGTCGGGTAGCTTTGAGACGTCTGCCAACGAAGTTCTCCCCGCCACCATTACCATCACCACCACCACCGCTACCCCTCGTTCTTGACGTCAGCTAACCCTGTCGAGATACCCCTTACTCGGTTGTCAGAATTTACACAAACGATAATAATTGCGCAAGCTCCGATTTAACTCAGAGGATTGGTCGAGTATCCAGCATACGTCAGCCCCCGCACCAACCCTCGAAATACGCCTCTTAGTTATTCTCACCCTCTTCCACCCACTGATGTATTTTCCAGGGAGCTAACGTACCAGGTATAGTCTGCAGACGGTCGATGCTGCACAGTATTTCTAGCCCCTGGTCGATATCACCTGTAACTCGTCACACACGAACTCTCGTGAGGATGCAGCCCCCAATTGCGCAAGCCTCATACTTGTGTCCTTCAAGCTCTAGTATTACTTGGACAAAAAAGCTAGTAATAATTTTTTTTAATTGTATGAGAACTCTTTGCTGTATCGTTTATTTCTTAAGTAATTGTTAAAAATACCTCAGTATTATTTTAGGGGTGTTTAGTTTATGGTATTTCTGGAAATGCTTTATTTTAATTAACGGATTATCTAATGCAGTCCGTCGGATTGAGAGTGTTGGGATTGAAAAAAATGATGAAATTTTCACGAAAAAGTTAACTGTTTTTGTATATTAAAAATTATTCAGAAGGCGGAAATTAAATTAATTTCATTTAAAATATTTATTATAATTATTTTATAATATCTTGTCTAGTTTTTATCATAAGTAACTGTGTTAAATATCGTTGTGATTATTAATTTTCATTTGTTTAAAAAAATGCATATAAAGAAAAATAAATATAAATCATTCTGCAACCATGAAAAATGTATTGTTTGTTATTATACTAATATTTATATGATGAAATAATTGAAAATAATGCTTTAAAAAATTATTTATTATTTCTAGTTTATGTATCGGTGAATTATAATATTAAAATTTATTCATAATGCAGCAAAAAATGTTATAAAATGTTGATAAAAAGTTGTTGCTAACTCAACAATTTATACATCCATGAAAATGTCAATAAATAATATGAGTAATTAAAATAAAAATGTTTCTTGTAATTCATTACTTTCGATTAGTAATTAGTCAATCAATCACAAATTTATTAACTAGAAAGTAATTTTTCAAACAATTGTTTCTCATTAAGTACTTTTTTCATAATGAAGGTATTTTTTTTTAATTAAATATTTTATAAAATGTTGATTTAATCAATATTCGAAGGATAAAAAACACAAAAACTATATTGATTTTGCTGCTAAGTAAATTTAATTTTGACTTGAGTTAGGTTAATTGCATCAGAATAAAGATAAAACAAAAAGTATACTATTTATTATTAAAGACTCTCAGTGATTTGAGGTCCGAAAGGTACTAGTTGCTGGAAGTGAAAACATAATTACAAGCTGTCCAGAGCACACATTTAAAGATACTTATGAAATTCGAATTGCATTGTGAAATAGGTTTCAATTTTATTAATAAACGAGAATTAAATTTAATAAATCTTAAAAGCCTCAATCTTCTGTAATAATTAACACTATAGAGCAGTCACTTAATAGATAGCATTATTTCATCAAATTAAATATAATTCTCTACTTTACAAAGTTTTTAAAGGTTTGAAAATTCTTTTTTCTCATGTATTTTAGCAGAAACGATTCTTTAAAAATTATAAACTTAGTAAAATTGTACAAAATATCTCAACAATTTATACCATACAATTACCTACTTTATTTATTTTTATTTCAATAAAACTATTGTTATAATTAATTATTTTACTAAAAAAGAATAAAAAAATATATTTATTTTTTCCACTGATGAGAAAAATTTTCGACTTTGCTGTTGAATGACATTTTAAAATTCTACAAAAATGATTTTTATTCAAATCTTAGTATCTTTTGATCAAAAGGTTCTAATTATTCTGAAACTTCTCCATATATTTCACCTAATTTCACTAAAACAGGTCTAATAATTAAACATCAATTTAAAAACAGTTTCTTGTGAAACACTGAAAAATGAATATAAATCTAAAAAATAACCATCCAGAAAAGATATTAGGCAATTCCAGAAAGCATGTTTTTTCAATAATTAGTAAAAACATTTCGAATCAATGTTTTCTATGTTGCGGACACAGCGACGGCTATAATTAAATGAAAATAAACTGAAAAAGTTAAGTATACCTAAATCTTCCGTATTTCCATATAAATGTGTATATGTAAAGCAATTCAACCTGAAGTATTACGTCGATAGATGCAATAAGACGTGACCTGCATTCTTGGTCAATTGTATTGTGTATTTCACACAATGCGTGGAATCGAAAAGTAGAAATAGTAACATTTAGACAGACGGATTGGATCAGTAGTATGTCAATAGTATGTTCGACACTCCTCTTTGAATATATTACTTCTATCAAGCGGAAAAAATTCTTCTGCTTTGATTTCATAATTAATGGAAAATAAAGAAACCATTTATGTCATTAATTCTTCCTAAAATTCCAATTTTTTTCAAGGAAAAAATTTTAAATAAATTTATTACAATTTTGGATTTCTTCTTTGTTTGGTGTATTTATTTATTTATTTGGATATTTATCATGGTAATACAATATACATATATATATATATACACGTAAGTATCACCAAAGTGATTCAAAGTATTGAATAAAAAGTGACTTCTCGAGCGAGTAACTTGAATACCAAACGAGCAGGCGTGTAATTCACTTGCTTCCGATCGAACTCTCTCGTTTCCCCACTCGACAAATTCTCTGTAAAATCGTGTTTTTCACTGAAATGATACTGACACATTTCAGAATAATTTATAAATGAAATTCCGACAATGCTTTTAGTATACAAATCAAAACATTATCGTTATTTATAACTAAATAACCAAATCCACATCAATTTTTCTAGATCTAAGCAATTTTTTATCTTCAAGATTACCTTCACAAATAGCTATCTAGAGTACATAAACAATCATTATATTTTTTTTTTCTTATCTGTTCATTTTTACTTCTAAATAAAGATTTATGAGAATTTCAATAATATTATAACAATTAAATGCGTTGATAGTCTTGATAATAAATTCAGATGAGAATTTTCTCTGCACTTCACACAATATTCTGTGGATTTATAAAAAAAAAATTTATACTTGAGATGGTGATTATAAAGGAAAGATTGTAATAAGCTCTCTACATGTAGAAATACCATGATGACACAAGAGAATACACGTAATAGGCTGTTTTGTTAAAACTCGCCGATCCATCGAGAGTCATGGAAACTTAGATGAAGATATAGCAGAAAATACCTTATTTAAAATTAATGCAATACTTGAAAAAAATATAAATATTTATGTGTAAAATGTATTTATAATAAAACTTAAACTATTCTAAATAAACTATCATTACTAGAAGCTTAGAATGAAATAAACATTATAGTTTGAATATTTTTCTTAGTAACTAATATTAAAGAAAACTAAAAATTGCCACGTGCTCACTTTATAGCATGCAAGGCATTGAATGAGAAGTCATTTGAAGAAAAGTACAGAATAACAAAAAAAAATTTGCACACATTGTGCAGAGAAAATAAAAGATAAAGTAAGAGATTTTAAGCGAAAGACAACTCAAATCACGAATGCACGCGTGAGAACATCATTTCACAACTCTCTTTCACATACATATGTTTTAGTAGTGATATGTGAATATTGCTCTGCGCTTTATTCTCTTTTATTTACTCAGGTAGTTATAAATAGTGTATTTACACGTTTTTTCCTTAGGATAAAATTGTCTAATTCCCTGTTTCCTTCATTATTATCAGAGATAATGAAAACATAGTTCCAGGTGTCAGGCATTTAATTAACACCTTTTTTCTGTACAGTAATTAAATAGCAACAAAACAATCGTTAAATAAATTTTTAATAACAATTTTCATTAATTTAACAAAACAATAATATTTTAAATATCAACCGTTGCATTTTAATCAATGATATTTTGTTTTTTTTTTCTTCAAATCTGACTGCTTAATTGAATTATTTAAAATAAAATAGAAAAAACAAAAATCAATTTATTGATAAGACTATTCCAGGGTTTAAAAATATATATTATTGTAATGATAATTGAATGTATAAAGTATATCAATGTTGAACTTGATAAATAAATAAACAAGTTCTTGAAAAGATTGTTAAAAATATCTTCATTCAACTATGGTCAAGGACACTTAGTTAAATTATTAAATAAACCAACATCATTAAGTCGATCGTCGTCGTTTGATGTTTAATATATACCTCGTCATGTATACAACTCTCTCTCTCTCTCTCTCTCTCTCTCTCTCTCTCTCTCTCTCTCTCTTGTCAATGTATAATATTACGTTTCTAACATCATTTACTTAGTTTCAATCAATCTAGCATTCTCACAATTTTTCATTAATTATGAAACTACATTAACTAAATGAATATTAATAAAAACTTCTTTTAATGATACGAATTTTTCTATCTTTATACGAATCACTCT